CCATATATTAGGATAAATGGGGAGTTTTTGAAAAAATTGATGGGGCGCAGAACGATTTTTGACAATAAAGTTTGTTTTCGACTGCTATTAGATTTCAGCTTAAAACTTCAGGTGGAGTATGCTTTGGACGGACTTTTCATAACCATCTTGTAGAGCTTGCTTTGCCCTCGAATGATTACCCAAACCACATTGAAGAAAAGATACAAAGAGACGACGGTTGTAGTTAAACGGTTAAAAAAACTATGAGACACTTTAATAATTAAGGGAAAGCCCAAGTCCCGCTGCAAAAAATGAATTCCGAAGCGATAAAATCTCCAGAAAGTGGAAGCGGAATTGGTCGCTCCGCCCATCACCCTGAGTGGTCTGAAGTGGACTTATTATTGACTTCAAATTTAATCAAAGACTTCGCCCTAAACTGTTGAAAAATTCGTAGCCTTCATTCCAACGGATTCGATCTTGAGTTACCTCGAGCACACAATTTGTGGTCACTCTATATTTTTTAAAACGAGATTAAAGATGGCATACTGCAATTCAAGCTGATGATGGAATTTTACATTAAATGTGTAGCAAAAATTGCCAAAAACCTATTAAATGACCTTGTCAGCAATAGAAGCAAAAGAAGTGGAGCATAATACCTAAATTGGCGCTCGGGATTCCTTTGCAATCTTCTCATAATATTTGTCTTTTTTGCAAACTTGTAGTAGCGGAAATTGAGTGTGTATTGACTGACCAACTTCCACAATACATCTCTACTAAATTCTACAGATTTCTCCCTTCAAGAGCAATCGAAAATAAATTTATCAGGAATGGACAGTTACTAGATTTTGAGGTAGAGGCAGGGCTCGGCACAGGTGTCGTATAAGCAAACTGGATATCGTTTTTGGGACAGAAAGCGAAGGGATATCGTTTTTGCGGTCTGAAAAAACACAATAGGTGAGGTTTTTTTAGTCGACGTTTCCGATTTGGGATCAAAGGCGACTTCGTAAAATTTTGCGTAAGAGGTCGTTTTTTTTTGCATAATGAAGCCACCTCGTGCCAAGCCTTGGAGGGGCGAAATCTCGGTCTGACAGCCTATTAGAAATTCCATAAAGAAGCGTAAGACATGAGAGTATTAGTCGTACAGTGAGCGGCGCGAAATGCTTGCGCTGCGCCATTTCTTGAGAAAAATATTTTCTTGGCAATCCCCCAAGTGCTACTTGCGCCTTTGAAACCTAAACATATACGCGCGATGCTGCGTACGATATGCGATAGTCTTGACCGATACGGACACACACCGTAAACGCTTTCATGTAACAAACGACCTCGCACACGCCAACCGCATCCATCATCTTTCATTGCCAAGACTACTTTGAGAACTGAGAAATGAGAACAGGTGAAAGGTGCCGAATTTTCGCAAGACTGCAATCAGGATCACCTAAGAATTCCACTTGAAAAATAGACAAGCTTTTTCATAACAAGCAGGCGAAACCAGTAACATTCAAATTCGCTCTCAACACATCTTTTTAGCCCAACGAAACAATATAAGCTTAGATACATCTTTCATTGATTATAAGCTGTCATAGCGTCAAGGAAACGCTTGATATCACATTTCGACGAATTTGGTTGCCGGTATGAAACAGATATATCAGGTTGATGCAAAAGTTATGTAGCATCATTTTTGAAAAATCATAACTTCTTGCTCTCTCAATTTGCAGAAATTTAACTTTGATAAATAAAAACACTCTTTTGTTCGTGATAGTGTCTTTGCTGCTCCCTAATAAAGGGTAGCTTTTGATACGGAAGCAGGAGAATAAACTCGACTATAGTCATTTTGAGTTCTCCTTATAATCAGAAACTTGCGATAAATTCCGAGCAAGCAGTATTGTAAGTTTTTTGATCCATCCTCTCCATCTGAGCAAATTTCGTGGTAAAAGAGCATCTCTAAGAAGATTTATGATCTCCGGTAAGCAATACAAAACAGCAAATTTGATTTTTGGCACTTTTTTCAAAAATCATAACTCTTCACAGAAATGCTCATTTGACACAATCTCTGCACTGTTGGAAAATGTGGATCAAAAAACATACAGTACTGCTTGCTCAGAGTTTCATCGCAAGTTCCAGATTTTGAGCAGCTTAAGTCAAGATGGCTGATGTTGAGTCATTTTAGTCTTTTCTATCTCAAAAGCTACCCCTTTTTATAGAGTAGAAAAGGCACTACCACAAAAGAAAGGGTTTCCTCTGTCTAGCAAAATCAAACTTGTGCAAATCCGTTTATAGAGCAAAAGTTATGGTTTTTCAAAAATAATGCAACAGAACTTTTCCATCACCCTAACAATTTCGAAGGCTTCTAGAAAGAGTTTTTCTACTCATTCACATTGATTTCTAACGAAACTGATTCCTTTTTAATCAATTTGGGCCTATGATTAGAGAAAGAAGTACCGTATAAGCTTCGTAGAAGTATTACAAGTTTATATTGGAGATGATATTAAGAAATAAGACAAAGGCTTTGATGATACATATTATTTGTTTTTGTCTGCCTGTGATAAAATGAAGTTCCTTCATCAAACGGAAATCTAAGGTGACAAGTCGCTGCTTCCTAAACCACTATTCTCAAAACCCCATCTAACGTATCATAGAGGATCAGATAGTTTTGAATTACTAAGAAAAAATATCTCCCTTCAGCAAAAAGATTCGTTGGATTAGTCCCTAAGTAATAAATCGCCGAGATTATCCTATCAGAAATGATTTGGAGCTATTGAGGGCATGCATTTCACTTTCCCGACATTCATCATCGTCTTCGATGTCTATCCATGGATGTTATAGATCGGCATAGCAATTCGATTATCATAGCAATCCGATCACGATCGGATTGTAATCCAACACAGGATCAAGTTCATTTACTTGCTTATAATGTTGTCTAGTGTCTTCTCACGATTATTTTGGCACGAAAGAAACCAAGATGTCATGAAAAACTGCTTTCAATTAGGATCATGAATGATGCTGCGAAAAAGAAGAAAGAATACTTAGAGTGTCATTTAAAAAATTCGCTCTGCACTGTAACTCCCTCTTCGAAATAGCTTCAATGTGAAACTTAGCGTCTACTGAACCATGCCGCTCACATGATTTAACGACCCTCAAGGTCATTGGTATCCTTGAACCGGAGAGGAAAGCTTGATTTGGGCAATTCAGAAATTAATCGGTTTGGCAGCAGCGACATAACAATTTTGTCATCAGGGACCAGGACACCCAGCTTCAAACCAACAGACCTCTAGCTATAGCATGTAAAGATATGTAAAATTGGTCAGGTTAAAAAATGTTGCAGGTAGAGTATTAAAGTAAAAGGCAAAAATTGATAAGAAAACAAAGAAAATTTCAGATAAAAGTTGGTAGTGTTGTACGTAACTGGCTTTTGAGTGGAAACAATCGACAGCACTCGAATAAAGGATATTTGCTACATTTCGCAGAAAATCATACCTAATCTCCCTTCCACTTTGCCATAAATAATAGAGCTACCATGTTCCTGACAAAGTCAAGGTATTATTTCAAAAAACTGCTGCAGCTTTCGCTCAAACACTGTTGGTCCCTTATCTTCACGACACAGAATGTTATTTCTATTAACACACCACTCCCTCCACTCCACAGTAAGGGCAATTTTTTTCTAGCCCCAACCTTCATCGAGCTTTCAGCTTGCTCTCCACATGCTGGCTCTTTCCCGTGTGGGTCAAATTTCACTCGGAGCAGAGAAGAAAAAGGCCGAGCGTTACCGATGGAATGAAATAGGACCTCGATGTTCAAATAATTCATGCGCACGCCTAAGGATAGTGGACACTTTGCATTACTCAGCATCTCTCGACTACCGTAATTGTAGCTAGTGCAGCCGTAAAACCATGCAAAGCAATGCGAATTGGCAGGAGGAAATAGGAATGCAGACGAAGCTTGACAGGCTGCCCTTTTACGGCCGCACAAATGTCACTACTGTAAACGCAAGCCTAATTTTAGAAGCTCGAAAGATAGAAACCATAATGGCCAAAAAAGGAGAACTTCTGGAAAGCAATGAGAAAGAAAATGAGCTTGTATTAGAAAAAAGTGAAGCAATATGAAGTATCAGTAATGCCAGAAAAATATGAGTTTGTAACATTGATTGAAAGAGTAAGCCAATAAAGCCTGTTGCTGCCTCATAAAGATAGTGAGATATCAATAAATAACTTATTCAAATATTGTTTTACTTGTATCAAACACATCTTCAAGCAGGCGAGAATAACGATGACTTACCAAACGTAACTGAGTAGCAGACTATCAATGTAATTGAGCCATCTATTTGTCGGTTCTCGAAAAAACATCGATCCATTTCTGAGCTTCAGCTTAATTCCCTCATTTTGCATAATAATAGTGCATCAGATATTTCTCTACATTTTTGAGTTCGAATAATTTCTAATAGCAATTAAGATGACTATAAAGCGTAAAATTCCACTCAGGAAACATTAAATGTACCATTCCATGTAAATTTCGAGAGGTATCACCAAAATTTGAAAAGGGAACGGTTTTCCCAGGAATTGAAATAGATTTTTCTATTATATAGATATATAGATAGCTTGTTATCCACCAGTTGCGTTCGGTCAGCTCTTTAGCTCTCGCATCTCTAAGATACGCTTTGAGCGAATATTTTACTGCACAACTTCACTCTTTCAGCCTTGATTTCAACACAGTTCTGCCCTTTTCCCCCCAATGAAGACTGGCGGTGCGCTAAAGTGCCGCACAAAAGTGACTCCAACGTCTGAGCGCTCACAAAATTTATGATGCGCATTTTTTATGCAAAGAATTTCCAACGGATGCATATAAAAACAAGGCAATGTGCCTGTGGATGCATAAGGTGACGAAGCCAAGGAAAATAGGGGGTGAAAAAAGAAAGATGAAAAAAGCAAGATTGTTACTGAAATGGAAGAAGAGTGTTTTGTGAAATTTAAAAGCTTCATAGATACTTTTTTTGGGGAAAAAAAAACAGAGACATAAATTTTGCCCACCTGTACAGATACCGTGTTCATTCTCATCATTTTGTTGTGTACATCGTAGATGTGCAGCACAGACGCCCGCATCTGCGCCACATATATCGCCTTCTTGTCGAACGCATACCTGAGAAAATTATGTACTTTTTACATGAAATATAGTAAAATTACATCACAGCTTATGCTCATTTGATGCTGGCGATATTTGTGTACTTGAAATGAGTTAATGGGAACTTTTCAATGGTTCTGTGAATATAGAAGTAAGACTCATTCCTGTCTTACCATTGTCTATTACTGCAAAGTATAAAAAAATAAATGTAAAAAAAAAATCCGTTCAGTTTCTTCCCTTGAACAGAGTTTCAATTTCTAGACTATCGGGATCCCCCATGGAGAGAGAGATGACCCAAACCAATTTACAGAATTACAAAATTAGTAGAGTAGTGCTATTGTAGATTTTCTAGAATTTTCTACAAGCAGCTAGTACAGCTCCACGCATTTTACAAAAAAAACTACCATTTTTACAAAAAACGCAATTTGAACTCTTTTCGATATCGCTTTGTTTGAGCTTCTTTCAGAATAGATCTTGACAAAAAAGATTGAATCAGCACGAATCTTCGGCTCTATAGTGTAAATCAAGCTTCTGCTTTCCCTCGTAAAAGACGAGTAAGCAGCAAAAAAAAACTTCTCGCAGAAGGCACACGTTTTTAAACGGTTTTTTATTATATTTCGAAGCAAATTCAAAGATTGTTCCTATGCTTCTTGTCTTGCTTGTACTATAATCTGCAAATTCCTTCGCAGAAATTGCCATAACTACGAAGCCACGAACAATTATTACTAAGTGCAAATTCGTATAAAGGTACATATTCGTAGCAGATGATCAAATAAAGTCGCAGAATATAGAGGGGTGCTTGCACTCTGTTTGCAAAAGAAGCTCTAAATAAAGCTAGTGGAAAGCCCTTCAAGCAGCCAGTCATAGAGCTGATCATCTTTTCATTCAATAGATCCTGACAAAAGAAGATCTTCGACTATCGAGCAGAATCAACGAAAACAAAGATGTCATATTCGATATGATCAGCAGCATTTTAAAAGAAAAGTTGCAGAGGTTCGATGCATGAACTATCAAATTCAGAGCATTCCCATATAGTTCATAAGTACACACAGTCAAAAGAAAGAGTATACTTTTGGGGTAAGCTGCAGGAGACTAAATGACCTTGGTGTGATCATAAGACGTGATGTAAAAATAGGTGTTATAACCCACTGTACAGTCCTTCATCTTCTCATGCCTCAATATCGTTACAAAAATACTGCAAAAGCTTCGGTAAAGCCTGACTCATGTCTTGTCCTTCCCACTCTCCTTCAAAATCCCCCCTACCAAGACGTATGTAAGCATTAATCAAGTGATGACTGCAGAGTGATGCTTCATCAAAACTTTCGCCAAATTGTTTACATTCGTCAGTGACAACATTCCACTACTGGAATGTCAAAGATGAAGCAGTTCAAGTCATTCCAGTGGAAGCAATCACTTTGTCAGCTGTGTACGGTTCATCGAGGAAACGAATCATGAGAACTCAAGGAAATTGATGTGAAACAAAAACAAGTCGACATTACTCCATAAGTTCACATTGAAAGTATGCAAGCACAGCATGCTGAACTATAATTCAAAAAATAGCGAAGCGCCTAAAAATTTATGTTGATGGCATGAGATTTATAATTTTTTCTACGTTACAGCTCCTTACGAATTTGGTTCTCGCCAGTTAGCAGCGATTTGATTCTGCAGACTTCCTAAGTGACATTTTACTCCAAACTTTCAGCCGCTGCTTGATTCGAAAGAGCTCTTTATTGAAAAGTTCATGGGTACTGAAAATCTCCCATCGCATGCATTTCTAATAGACGCATTGCGAAATCTTGGAGCTTCATTGCCTGAATGAAGTTTGGCTTAATAATCAAAAAGAAATCTTAAGAAAACAATGGTTGCAACTTTACATGATCAGATTTCACATCTTTAATATTGCCATCAAATAGCAAAGTCAGCACAAAAAGCAAAAATTGAAGAACTGTCTCTATAATTAAACATCCAGAAGAGCCAATTTTCGACTTCTCAGAGATTTGAGACGCCAAATGAATCCAAAGAGATCTAATATTTTATCCTGGAATTCATCATATCTCATCCCCACGTGATTTCCTGACATTGATGTTCTTTGAGCTGCAAAATATTCTACATCCTCTGAATGCAACCACTTCACATTATGCATTCCCCATCCCATTCATTCCTGAGTTCAAAGACTGGGGACAAGGAGATCGAGAGCACTGAGAATATTGCAACTTTCTAAGCGAAGCTGAACCTTTAGAGATTGAGTCGAATCAATCTATCCAAGAATTTTTATAAGTTGCGGCGTGTGCTAAAATGAGAACGAGAACTGGTCCCCATACTGTGACTCCTAAAAATTCTGGCATATATGTACAGTGGAAAATATTACATTTTACATTGTATCAAAGCCCATAAACAGAAAATTATCTGAGGTAAGATTTAATTTGCGCAATTTGCTGATCGTGGCGCGAATTTGGAAAGATATGTACCTTTTTGATGGATTAAAGCCATTTTTGATGGATCGAAAACCACACCACAACCCCTCAGGCCACTTTTAGCAAACTTCTACGTTCTGCTCTAAATTTCACCAGCCCCTCAAATTTTACCACTTAATCCCAAGCCATCAGCACTCTCTAGCTTCATCCGAGAGCTGCTCCACCTCCATCGGCGCCAACCAGTCGATTCTCCCTCTCTCTCTACTGTGTGGTGGCTTGAACAAATAATGCACTACGCACTAGCTGCAGAGCAACACAACGATCCCTTCTCTTTTTCGTTTTTCTAGGTAAATTTGCTTGCACACGAAGGGAAGGGGAAGAGAGAGAAGAAAGTGGAAAAAGACTTTTTGCACGCTGCAGACAGCACTTCATTGGAGCTTACCCAGTCCGTCATCCCTAAAACCGTTGTCTTCTTAACAAATCAGTTTATGAGTAACCGTTAGGTTCATAAAGACCACGAAAAAGTACCAAAATTCCTCAACAATTATCCTGAAGAAGCTCAAAACGTTCTTCTGGATTTCTAGCTCTCTCAGAGTTCGTGTTTACTCAGACAAACGTAAGAAAAAACAACGCTTCACACAAAAAGACACTCGAGCAATTTGCGTACTTTCCCGTTTATTCCCGGAACGAGAAGTGCTTACCCAGAGCGGCCTGAGAAATCGCAAATGTATCCGATAGGCCGTTCGCTTCAATCACCTTAGATTTCAAAAAATTCTGATAAATCGCCTGTTCGTAGGTGTTAAGAGCAGGTTGAAATTAGCTTCGAAAACAGACATGATGCTAAATTACTCGATCTGTTCATGGAGCTGGCGGTTCACCTCCTTCAAATATGATTTCGAACTAGAAATGTTCATTCGGTCACCGGAAATAGCTTGACCGTACTGCATCAAAAGACACCCAAGCTTGAAATGTTAGAGAGATGAAAGAGGTACAGTAAGGGAGGATTCATACCTGAGATGAAAAATAGAAGATTAATCTTAACCTTCAGCCAATTCAATGTAACCTCCTTCTACCATTTTTCTACTGACAAGATCTCAAACTTTAGTATGCAATGCATAAAACGCGTAAACCAAATTTGCAATGTTCGAGCTGGCTCGTGGATTTTTCGAGCATAGTGAGAGAAAAAAACGTTTGTCATTATTGTACGAAACTACGACAAGTCTCTTCAATGACGATGTTCACTTCAGAAACTAAATCCACCGTCTTCGATACCACAGAAACCAGTTCACTTCATCCTCCGAAGTTACTACCTTGTTCAAAGTTGCGCAGGTGACCGGTTAATCCGGAAGACAGTGAGAGACTACGATCAAAACATTGTTAGCTTAAACGCTAACATTCACTTCATTCTTTATTTTTTCTATCATTACATTGTTTTCTAGCTCTCTTGGATGGTCAAAAGCGGAATTTCTTCGTCATGAAAAAATGCAGAGCTTCACTTGCAGGGAAAAAAAGATGAAAATCTCTCTCCAAACAATAAAATTTCAAAGTTGAGCCCTAGTATCTTATACATCACGATCCCAAAACGCTGATCTAATCATCCAACACAGGTCGCCCAAAGATCATCAACTCGATGATGCACTCGTCGACCTTGAGTGGCTGGAGCAAATCTCCAAAATATCTCAAGATGCTAAACTATTCCTTTTATTTAGTCAGGTTTACATGTTTTCAAGGCCGACTCGAAAACCAAAAGAAAAGTCTTAGCCGAGGAGAGCCTTGAAGTCACGAGTTTCAGCCGACTAAGCAGTTTCTTTCGGTTCAAAGTTAGAAACACAAGAAAATCAAACATAAAGACATTGTTCTGTAGTTTTAGCTTGTAAAACTTCAAATAACCCAAAGCAGCGCCGATCTGCAGTCATCCTAAAATTGCAGCTTCTCCCAAAACGATTTAAAAGACCGTACACTTGCAGAAAACTAAAGGCCTACGGTTCGCAGAAACCAAGAGAGCGGTAATCAGGATAGACCTAATTACTGTGATCAAGTGATAATGGACCATATTTATCCTAAAATTATTTCCGTAATGACAGGTGAATTGCCCGATAGTCTTTCACCACAACGTAACATCCTATTTAGATCTCACGTTGCTAGGACAATAGTTCATGATCTTTTGAGTCTTTATGAATCTAGCAATAAAACTTTAGATGTGGGGCTGAATATGAAGTTGCCAAGCCATTGGTCAGGGATACAAGAATAGAGGAGAAAAGTTGTACTCAAAGAAAAGATGTACCACCGAAAAAATAAAGAGGACTTGTACTTTTAAACTCGCTAAATTACAGAAGCTGATCAAACATACCAAAATGATTAATGAACAGAAAGTCAGTATAAAGCTGTTTGAATCAAGCAAATTCGTTTGAATTCGATGCTTTCTTCTTCTTGAGAGTATGCATACACCTTCTCCGCTTTATATGAGGTAATCATGCAGATTTTTGCAGTAAGAAATCTGTTGTGCTCCTATGGAATGTCTAATCAGAGGCCAGAATAACATATAATCTCAACTTTTGATGATTTTGTGAATAAGGCAAAACAGTGTAGCAAAACCCTGGAGCTTCCGGTCGCTTAGGTATAATAATTTTACTATTCATATTTAAGTGAAAACTCAGCTAATGACCAAGTGTTATGGTTAGAAAAAGTCGTAAAATTTGCGCAAAATTTACTGCAGCTTTCACTGCTGACCCTAGCTTTCACTCGAACAACTCGTATATTTCTAACACAAAACTTTCAATCTCAAAAGTCCAGCTGTTTTGCACAAGTACAGTGCGCCAGCCACCTCACAGTAAGCCTTATAAAAACTCCTTTTTTTTCGATCGCAGCCTACAGTAAACACTCTGCGTCAACGTAGAGTCAATTTATTCAAATGTGAGTCCTCGCCAACGAAAGAAAACCTCGCGCATGTCTTGAATAATTGCTGCGATATTTTCATCTTCAAGCCGCGGGCAGAGTTCACGCGATTCATCGTCGCGATTCATCGCGACAAGACAATTGTAACAATACCAGTACTGTACTATGATACTGTAACAACAATACTGTAATATTGCATGCCGATCTTCTTGCATTTCAGTCGTGCTACTTTCCAGCAAGATCAATTTTGACTAACTATCACAAAGGTACAAAAAGATCGGCATACAATGAACTCGTAACACTTGCCTAATCGCGATGAATCGCGACGATGTAATCGCGTGGACTCTGCCCGAGGGCATATAAAAATTCACTCAAATGTGCGCTCACTCCAACGCAATTAGGGTTACCATGAAACAAGTCAATGGCAAAGGTTCTAGTAATTGAAAAGTTGCATTGCAATTTGTCCATTTAACCGCAAATGTCTGTTCCCTTTGTTTTTGTCCTAATTTTTATTGGGTCGCCACTTAATTGATCACGAGTTTCGCTAAACCTTGACGACACTACATTTGATAGGTCTCCTCGTTGAGGTTTCTTCCTCTGAAGGTTCAAAAGTCAGAATATCGTAGGGATAAGCCGGTTCGCCTGCAAATTCCACGAAAAAGTGTCATTGTTCCATTTGAAGCCTAGCACGCTAACAACCTTCATCCCAACACTTCTTCTTACCCCGACTAGAACTGACCAAAAATAAATCTTTGTCTCCGACTTCACGTGCTGAAGTCTCAAATCCCTAATTTCTCTCCACTTCTTTTCAACCCGGCAAAAATTGATCAAAAATGAATCTTTGTCTCAGAATACACGTGGGAGTCTCAAATCCAAGAGTGTCGCAAGATCGAGAGCGACGCAATCATCACGAAATGCGCAAACAAAAGGCGCCTCGAAGCCGGCGAGCGAGCTGTGTGTTGGCCGGTCGCGGGCTTCTATTTGACTCTTCACGATTTGCGAACGTTTCGACATGTTTCTCAAGCAGTCGTGCACTCACTTTCTTTTGTTATCGATTGACATTAGAATCAAAAATTTTCAAAAGCACTTTATCACGATTGAAATCCCTGAGAATAGGCGGGAATTTTTAATGGAGAAGATGGGGGGCGCATCAAGGAACAAGGACCAAGCAGAACGAAATGTATCTGAAGACATACGAGGAGATAAGAATGAGAAACTAGAAATTTGTTGACAAAATGAAGGGCTTATCCAAGAACCCCATCTGGCTTCGTGACACAATTTATTTACTACTATTTGTTGAAATCTGAAAAAAGCTGGAGCAGCAGTCCACTCAGATTGTGCCTCCAACTAGTGCTCCTTCATTGTAATTTTTGACAAAGTTTCGAATATTTTTACCATAACAGAAATAAAAGATTGAAGAGAACATTCAGCGTGTAATAGGGGCAATACTAGGACAAGTAGCACAAACGATACTATAAACTTGCGGCATTGACCGTAGCTCCTGTTATCCAAGACGGTCTACTTCAACAGGAGAAACGAATTTTTTCCAAGTCTTACTATCTACAAATGTAACAGCATTCGGATTAGCATTTTCGGGAGAAGACTTCAAAAAACATACGTTTCATTACGCCACAGCTTTGTGCAATCGCACACATTATTACTCTAGCGACTTAACTATAGATCATGGCGTGATAAATAACAGTGATAGCAAATTCACATTAAGTCCAGACTTTTTTGTAGCCTAAGAGTGAGATCTTCACAAGCAAGCTTCCTTCTCACTCCATTCTTCAACTGACCACAGTGACACAAATTTTCGACACCATGCTTGGTGATCGAGTATTAATTGAAGTGATGTGACCAGATCGTTTAGGAACCAAAGAAAAGGGAACGAAAGTAGATGGACTATAATCTTTGACATACTGGGTGCCTAAGGACCAAGAGGATGTTCAGAATTCAAAGGTGGCAGAGGTGAAAATTTCAAGCAAAGAAAACTTACACGAAATAAGTTAAACTTAAAAATGTTTCCAAAATAGAAGTAGTTCTGATTTTTATTATCAATTTTGAAAAATTTAGCATCGAAAAACTCACCGGACAACACCCGCATTGGTCGAGTACAGTATGTTCGCACAGCGGTTCTTTACATACAGGACATCGCTCGGGGCAATCCTCTTGTTGCAGAACGTGTTGCTGTAGTAGCTGCGAATCGACGATCGGCGGCGATACGGCAAAGTGTTGCGCGAGTAGCGCCACACATGTCGCAGCCGCTGTCAGCCAGCACAGCCAGCGTCGCATTTAGAGTCGCCTCGCTAGAGTCGTGCGCCGCGACGAGCAGCAGCCGGCATTCGCGCGCTCTTGCCGCCACCCGGCTCAGCCCACTCTGCGTCTCTGACCACGGCTCCGATGCTGTCTGCGTCTAGCGTGCTCTACACTTCGGACGCACGCTCTCTACACTCTCGCACGGTCACGCCCCGCTGGACACGCCCACTTTTGCCGGAACGAAGTGAGGAGCAGCAGAGAGGCGCAGAGTAAATACGGACGTTGACACGGTAGTCAGCTGAAAATAACTTTTTTCTTTTCTGTGGATGAAGGACTGTCCCGAATGAATAAGCGTACGATACGGTCGTGACGATAAATGCGCATTACAAATGACAAATGGTAAAGCAAAATTGCTGCATAAAGAGGGATTCATAGAGACGAAGCAACTTTTGCAAAACTCAGGCAGTCTAGCAAATAAAATCTGGATTTATGACAATAGTGACGTTAGCCGCCACATGCACTGATGAACCCTCTGATTTATGGATGAATGCTGTAGATAAGCGCGATAAAAATCTGAAGCTGAGACATGTGCTAGCTAAGAAATCAGCCAAATTGGATAACAACGTGTTTGAGAAAACCTCATTTCAACTTTCAAACGATATCTAGAGCAATTTGGAACTTTAATATTTATGATGTTTAAGTACAAGATTGTAAATCTCGGCACACTTCAAAGTTTAGTCTATAGAGAACTGGATGATACTCAGCACGGTTAAACAAAATTGGATTGTAGACTAAACAATGCATAAGGGGAAATAATGAAGAAACTGATAGCACACAGATGTTTATGCACAACGGTCTGAAATGAATTCAGATATACTAAAAAAGGGTCGCGTAAGCCCTTGACAGATGGTAAGTCGTTGAGGTGATAATATTTGTTTATCTGAAATTAGAATTGGACCGAGAGGGTAAATTCCGTTTAGGGAAAGGGACGAAACGGAATAAAACAAGACTTGTTTTTGTTTTTACCAGCTGATTAGATTTTGAACCACGATCAAAATTGGTGAAATCTAGATGCATTGAGGATATGATCATATTATGAGGTTGGCTAAAAAATTGTGTCTACAGCATTTGTAAGAAAAAGCGACCGAACCATTTATTAGCCACCTTAATATTTTTACATTTAGATAGTGTCTTCACATTTATTGCTCCATTTAGGAAACTATTCATAAGATTAGTTTAAGTTGATTCAAATAATTGCAAAATAAATCGACTACGAAATTCGGTACTATCCAGCTCCATCAAAGAGTAAAACTACTCTAATGTACAACATTTGGGTCAATTGATTACGGTAGCGCAACTGAAAAAAAGCGATAGAATGGCCGGCCTTTGGAGGCTTTTTTGTGCTACGTCTAACAAATCACAATCGTCTCCTACTTCCTACATTTGTCTACTTTGCGTGTGAATGAAAATCACAAAGAACTTTTAAGTACGGTTGGTACTACTATACAAAGAATTTTCTCTCTAAACATTTCCACGGTTCTACATGCTTGAGCAGCACAAATGTGCCATCATGCCTTGATTTCTCGCGTTGCATCGAAGCGAGGAAAGACGGTGACAGTCAGCCTATGAGTCATCGAGAACACTAAAAACTAGATACTGTAGCTATGGAGCACATGTTAGAGCGACGTAGATAATCGTAAAAATGGGAAATTAGTGCAGAATCGCGTGCTAATCAGCCTCCTTCGACGCTCTCTGGACTCAAAACAACGGGAGTGGGTTGGAATGAGTGTGATGAAGAGGAGGGGGGGGGGAGGGGGGAGAGGTCGGAACAACATATGAGGGACGATGCTATGATTTGCAAATGCACAGCGCAACTTGCATTACTAAGCGCTCCTGTGTGTTTACCCGGTTTCTCAAACATCCGAAAAATCTGTGACACATAAGAATTGCAAACGCATTCCAAAGAAAAACGCAGAACTTACATATACTGTATGCTAACTACAGTAATCCTCAGTATGGCGCCACTGTACCACTCAAGAAGATTAAGCCGGTTGCTCGACATTATCTGGGTTTTTGCTTACATGCTGTGCCAAAGAAACGCTTATAGACAAAAGAAAATTGACAAAATCACCTCATTGCAGGAGTACACTCTTACTTTGAAATCAGAACGCTACCTTTCAGGTAATATGTATGGCTAGACGAGCCACTTTAAACGGTCTCCATTTTAAGATTTGTTTTGTTTTCAAAGATATATCTGCTTTTAGTCAAAAGAACACGCCCCTCAAAATTGCAACAGAATAGATGGAATATACTCGTTATAAAAAGAAAATAGCTTTTCTGAAAATAATTTAGATTTGATCATTCTGACGTTGGAAAAAGTCTGTCTCTCACATAGATTGAACACTTCATTTAGATAAATTGCAATAGTCACACATCAGCTGTGATTTAGAAGTATCCGATAATTGCCATTGAGGTTGGGTGTAATAAAAATTTTAGTGAAAACGCTTTTTTTGAAGTTTTGGGCGTACGGACTTATGAAGGACCTACAGTCACAAAAACACTAGAAAATGGGCAAATCTAGATCACATCCTGACAATCTTTCGTGCCAAATGAAAACAAATACAGTAAGTGAAAACGGAAACAACTAGAAGCCCCTTTATTCCCTCTATTATTTCATATCACTATTTATCCTGCTCAGACAAAATTCCAAGCACTTGCAGTAAGAAGTCCGAATAACTTGGATCATTGTTCAAATTGGGATTCCACAGTCCCCATGCTCACAACAGAAATTTCCATAATATGCCCTTTGCTTTAGTATACTAACGTGATAAAAACTCTTAGCTTATGTTACCGATCTTACGCATTTTGTATCGATCAACCCCAGAATTATGGACCTGCATTTTCGAACTAAAAAGTTTAAAGATTTACTAAGGCAATCAAATTTAAAAAAGCCAATTCATTAAAGATTCACTAGGGCAATCAACTCTAAAAAAGCCAATTCATAACGAGATGTGCACCTACGAAAAGCTAGGATTGCGTGAGAAGCGAAAAGCTTAGGCACTATTTTTCGATCCCATAGTCACAAAGACTACTCAAGCTTCATTGCATGATATGTGGCATTAATCAAGCAATACAATTATACTTGTAGAATCTAACCCTTCTTACCTCTAGCGCGGATGTTTTTGTAATGACAATAATATTAGGTTGTTGTAAAAGTGCTTTCGTAATTCAAAATAAATATTAGGTCATTTCAAAAGTTCGTTCGCATTGTTCTCCAAAAAATCGTAACTCTCTGCTATCTGCCTGGATTTGCCTGGGATAATTTTTACTGGATTGAAGAGATCATGTAATTTCTGGCTATGGCTTAAAGGCACCGTCCACCCAAATTCTCGACTTCCATGTTTTTGTCGCTTCCGGGCCTTCTGAAGGCCCTGATTTCGAATATGAAGTCGAGAATCCCAAAAACCCCTATTTTGGAGAAAGCGGGACGGGTGGAAGCGCAGTTTGCAGGGCTGCGGCGCGGTTATCGCCCGGCGTATATCAGCGCCGCAGCCCCCAAAGCTGCAAAATGGGCGGAGTGACCACCTCTGGATCACGTATCACGTAACTTCCAGAGCGGATTTCTCGCTCCGGAAACAATCTTTTGCGGGGAAACTTGGGGGTTGGCCTAGTGTGGGGGCCCACATTAGCATGCCATTGAATCTCGTGAACCCTCACTTTGGGTGGACGGTGCCTTCAAATTCGTTCTATCAAGCAAAAGTCGCAGAGTTAAAAATGCAAAAAGAAAACCACTCAAATTTTGGTAATTTCAAAAAAGCTCTCCAAAAATCTTGAAACCTTACAAAAAATACCGAAACAAACACAGATATATGTTTTACGTTCTCGTCTTTCTAGCTAGGTAAACTCCTTGTTGAACGACTGTTCTTATGAGAAGTAATGATTTTTTAGGAATTTGCTACACGTTTCCATGAAAATCAAAATTGCTCTCCCTTGACACGAAAATCCCTTAGCTAGAAAGAGAAGGCTACAAAACCCTTGTTCTTGGCTTTCCCGCCTTTTTTGTGACGTTTATGGGCTTTTTTGGGCATAGTCAAAAATTGCAAAATTGAAGTAATTTTCTTTATCTGCTTGTAGCTTTCGATCTTTTTCGTTTTAATTCGTGGAAAAGGCACTATAGTAAAGAGCATAATTTTCTCTATCAAATAATTACACTTTCGGAATTTTTCGTGACCCAGCTTAAAAAATGCCAATCTTGAGTAAATTTATTCAATTGCTTCTAGCTCTTGAACTTTCTCACGCCATTTCATGGCAAAGACACTATTGTAAAGAGGAAGGATTCTTCTTTCAAACAAAAATTAAAACGAGAAATTCCGCCAAGAAGGAAGGAAGTTATGATATTTTGAAAAACTGGCGAACGAACTTTTGAAATGACCTAATACAATAACCTCTCAAATCCTAAGCCTCGTTTCGTGGCTTTGCGTTCAAAAACTATTAGGTTGTCCCAAAAGTCTTTTCATTTTTTGAGTTTTCGCTATAATAAGTCTCACACAGTTCTTATTCTAAATAGATATGAGGATATCAATTCGACAGAGCAAAGCAAGCTCTATATGATGGCGTTTATGCTTTTGCCCAAGCTTCGGTCCATCTCGAGTTTAAACCAAAATCTAATAATTTTCGGATGCCCAGAAAACCGAAAATTGTTTATATGTTCGTAAAAAAAATTCTACAGATTCCTAACTCGCTCACGCATATACATTCCACATCAGACATTCATATGTGCTGTTGATGTATTTTTTTATCAGCTAGAAATCAAGAAACCGAAAATTTCTATGTTTTTAACAAAGTGATGCTGTGCTGTTCTTACACTAACAGTTGTATACTAGAAGCCCTTAGAAGTACTACCGCAGATTTTTGGCTTTTATATGCTCTGGTTCACGAGAAATATCAAATTTAGCTTTCTTCACTCGGGTTCTTCACGCTTGAATCAACATTTTTCGGAAACCGGAGCTTATAGAGAGCTAAAAATTGTACTTGCAAGGGCTTATAGTATACAACTGTTATTGTAAAAACAGCACAGCATCACTTTGGTAAAAGCATGGAAATTTTCGGTTTCTTGATTTCTAGCTAACAAAAAAGTACGGCCATAGCACGTATGAGTGTATGATGGGAGCGTATATGCGTAGCGAGTGAGAGATCTGTAGGACTTTTCTGAACGAAGATATAAAAAACTTTCAACTTTCTAGGCATCAGAAAATTTTTAGATTTTGGTTTAAAACTCGAGATGGACAGAAGCTTGTGCAAAAGC